GGAGCACAGCGGCGCCGTCGCCCGCACCTCCGGACGCGGCCGGCAGAGCCCGACGCAAATCGGCGCCGCTCGGAGAATACCGAAGCCCGGGCGCCCGCCGAGCACGGCCCGAGCGCGGCAGGGGCGGGGCACTCGGGGCTCACAGCCCACCTGTGATTGGACGGCCCGACTGTACGAACATGAATTTCTATTGGCTGACTGTGGCGTGGGGCAGGACTCGCGGAGGCAGAGCCGGTTCGGGGCGCTCGGATTGGTGAGCTAGCAGAGCGGGACCCGCCTCCTTGAGGAGAGCCTGGGTGGGGGTGAAGGGGATGGAGAGGGGTGGGAGGTCGCGGGGTGGGGGGTTGGCGCAGGCAGGAACGGGAGGAGAGCGCGCGCGAGCCCAAGAGAAGGAGAAACAATGACTTGGAGAAATCATCTGGAAACTAAGGCTGGGACGGCCTGCCCGGGTCCCGCCAAGACCCGAGCTCGTTGAGCAATGAAGCAGGCTAAGGAGGTAGTGAGTCCCCCTATTTCTCAGAAAGACGACCCTCTGAGAGGTGACCCAAGCAGGTCGTTCTCGCCTCTGAATTGACAACGTCTGCCCTGGAGTTGGAGTTTGTGAAGATCCCGTGGAGCCCTGCAGCCTTGTGACCCAGCTTGCCTCGTTCCAAGCTGTTATCTAAGGCTTTTGTTCTTCAGTTTCTGGGATAGTTAGGGCTAGATTAACTGCTCTGGAGGCGGAGGATTCTTTGGGGAGCCTCATACTATTCAAACCATCGGTGTTTTGTAATTCTTTTTATCCATTCCGCCTGTGTGTAGGGGCTCTGCCCTGATTCTAGCAGGAACCCAGTGGGTGGGCTTCTCTTCTACCCCTCCAATCAGACCGAATCACAGAGGGGGCTACAGTCAATTGAAGAGCTCAAGTAGATATGTCGGGGGAGGTCAGAGCAGGCATCTGGCAGGAAACTCAAAAGAAGGGCTCTGGCAAAGCAGTTCTAGCATCAGGGTACAGATAGTCGCAGCCACCAGTCACCTACTGACCAGGCAGCGTGGTACTCATAAAGTTTTTAGCATTCTGATTTGAGAGAAAGGAAGATCGGGCTAGAATCTGGCACATTCTTGTATACCAGAATAAAGAGCAAGCTCCCTCTTTACTGTTTTTGTTTTGTTTTGTTTGAGCTAGATAGTGACTTTCTTGCTCTGGCCTCAGGTAATGGGGAACGAGTGAGTGAGGCCATTTCTTGATTCCTGCAAGAGATAAGGCCTGTAGGACCTCACTGTGGAGGATTAAAGAGAGTGGAGTTGATTGGCATTCAAGATGCAAATTCTCTGCAGGACTTGATATGTTTGGACATGTGGATGAAGGCTCCCATTTCTGAGCTTGCATTTCAGTAGTAGCATGGGTGGCAATCTTGCCGCTCTTAATTGTCCTATAAAGTAGAAAACACAGTCAGATTGGAGAAAAATGAACCAATCCAGTCCTCCCTGATGTAGCTAGGCATCTCCTTTCATAGGTGAGGAAAGGGAGGCCTAAAGACTTTGTCTTTTTAAAAGTAAGTTACATTTATTTCTGTGAATGGTCACATGTGGCACAGTGCCTAGGGGTCAGAGAGAAACTTAAGCTCTGTCCTTCTACCATGCGGGTTCTAGAGATTGAATTTAGATCATCAGACTGGGCAACGAGCACCGATAAAGGCTGAGTCTTCTTGCCACCTCTGGCTTTGGTTTTTCACTTATTGTTTGTTTGTTTTTGACAGGTTGGCCACAGACTGACTAGGTGGCTTGGGATAATCTTCCTGCCTTTATTGATTAAACCGTAGGATTGCAGGCTTGTACTTCCAAACCAAACTTAGCCTAGAGGGTTTAAATTCTTTGTCTGGGCTCTCAACCATCCCCCCCCCCCCAGGCCTGTTCCATAAGTGAAGAGCCTGTGGCTACCTGAGTCCCTAGTGGGATTTCTCAATCAACCAAGGATGTCTGGAGTCTTAACTAGCTCCTCAGTTTCAACTGTGTGTAACTTTGGGCCACGCCAACAGGAAACAGAGTAAGCTTTGCTACCAGCCTTGGCTCCATTTGACTCTCCATTTGTACAGTCTAAAGGCTCGGAACCCAGGAAGTGTCCCTTCTCACTTCCCAAATGGTGCAGAAAGTGTGGTACCAGGACAAGATGCATGATTTGGTGTGAGACAAACCCTAGTTAGAATCCTGGCTCTGAGCTGGGTGTGGTGGTGCACGCCTTTAATCCCAGTACCTGGGAGGTAGAGGCAGGTGAAGCTGTGTGAGTTCAAGGCCAGCCTCAACAGAGGGAGTTCTGAGACAACCAGGGCTAGGCAGAGAAACCCTGTGTCAAAAACAATCCTAGCTCTGTGGTGCTTTGGCATGGGGGCTCAGTTTGTGACCTAGGCTCAGGACCTACAAGTGGCAGTGGGTCCTCCTTGTAGTGAGGACTGTGTGCTTTGGAGCCCACAGAACTGAGCTCAGAATCTAGCCAGCATACCATTGGTAGTTTGAAGTACACAAGCTTGGGTGAAGCTTCGCATGCACAGAAGAGAATGCTAAAGAACTTCCGAGAGAGGCTAGCCTTGGCTGCCTGCTCTCAATACTCCAGCAAATGAGACAAGAGTGAAAAGTAGGTTTATCCAATGTGGTTACATTGGGGAAAGGAATGAGTAAGCCCAGTGACTTCCCAAGTCCCTAGGCTACTGACATAAGGTTTAGGTTGAAAATAGAGGGCAAGGGTTATAGGCAATGGAGTGCCTTCATTTCTGCCAGGATGGTTCCACTCCGAATGTAGTAGTGACGCTGATGCGTGCCCAGGACTCGGTAGCCTGAAGCTGGAGGATCCCACCAAGATTAATACTATTAAAAAGAGAGAAGGGGGATGGGGAGGAAAGGGACATCAAAGGAGACACCTTCAACTTTCCTATCTATGAGCTGTCATTTCTTCCCTTGCAACTTTTTTAGACTGTGCCCAGGAAAGACTCAGGACTAGAGGGATGGGGAGCTGAGCAAGTGTTCTATGGGAGGTTACCCCAGTTAGCAACCCTTACTGCTCTACATTGTTGAGGCCTTGACCAGATGAATAAGGAACCTAACTGATGCCACGCAGGACCATTTCAGACAAACAGCCCTGGGGGAGGGGGGGGAATCTAGGGAGACTGTCGGAGCTGGAGGTTCTGACTCAGATGTGCTGGCCAAGGGATGCCTGCTAGAGATGTCATCTCAGCTGAGACTTCGGTAATTCGGGGACCCAGGCATGTGATGCACTGGGGGCAGAAGTACAAGTTTGCATATTTAGGGGACTCTATGTGACTGGAAATGGGATAAGAAGGGGTAGAAGGAGGGTTGAAGCAGGGGGGGCACTAATTACAAAGGCCCTTGAGGGCCTTAAAGTTTAGAGTTTACTGTAAACACAAGGGGGACCCAGATATGGTGACACACTTTTGTCATCCCAGAACCTAGAGGCTAGAGCATTGCTGCAAGTTGGAGGTCATCCTAGTCTGCAAGGCAAGTCCCAGGCTGGCCAGGGCCATGTAGCAAGACACAAGGACAGAGATGAGAGGCTGAAACCTGTGGGTAGTTCTTGCGGACCAGGAGTCGTGCCACTGAGGGCTGGAGAGGTGGCTTAGCAGAAGCGCTTGCTGCACATGAGCCTGGTGGCCTCAGTCTGAGCCCCAGGACCTGTGGTGGAGAAACAAGACTGACTCCTGGAACCTGTCTTAGTAGAGGTTAAGAGGAAAACTGGAGGGTCAAGCTGCAGATCTTTAGAACTGCTTGGAAGAGGAAGCCAGAAAAGAGAGAAAAGGCCATGCCTTGAGTTAGGCTGCTATAGAGGTCAGCCACAGGGCCTACCAGCAGCCTCGGAGCAGAAAAGGGAATTTAGGGAATTTTAGACAAGGAGCAAAGCTGAAGTGTTAGGAAAAGCTTGCTTAGAGAGTGAAGAAAAGGATCAGTTGGGCAGATTTACAAGGCTGCGTGACTGTGCCTCTCTAAGTGACTATTAAATAAAGTTTTTTTGTATCTTTACTTTTTATGTGTATGTGTGTTTTACCTGCATATACATCTGTGCACCACATTTGAGCCTGGTGCCCGAGGAGACCAGAAACGCACATCCAACCTCCTGAAATGGAAGCTACAGATGGTTAGGAGCTACCTTGTGGGTGCTCCGAATTGAACCTGGAAGAACAGCCAGTGCTCTTGACTACTGAGCCATCTCTCTAGCCCCCCAGATAAATTTTTGAAAATTACTCAAAGTCC